TCAAATTTTTAATATCACATCAAAAATAGCACTATCACTATTTTTTAAGAGTGAAATACATATTTTCAGGCATTGATTTAATGCACCAAAGTGTTGTGTGTAAACATGAAAGTTTTTTAGATGAGACATGTAAAGATATAAGAATTGGGTGCTACATATGTAAATTTCCCTTACTAAAAATACGCAGTTGAAGTTATTGAAACTTCATTTCAAGATCAAGGCCCTAAAATCTTAACAACATATGAATCATAAATTTTTTTTAGACTATGTTCAACAAATCAAACAAGAAATAGTAAAAGAATAAAGCATATTTCATATTATATCATTCAATATTCAAACAGATACAACTACTACACAGGATAGCAAATTTTATAAATCTATCTCACTCATGTAGCAGTATTACGTACAGCATTGGTAAACTTTTCTTATTCATTACCAATAAAACACATATCATAGCTGCACCAACATCTCCTTGATACTCTGAAACCTTGATCCTTTATCAGAAAACTTAGTGTCAGTATAATAATTAAGATAATCTTGGAAACGATAATGTCCAGGATACAAGAGCTTTGGTGCTGGAGAAATTATTGCATTTGCGCCCGGATTGTAAAATGTCGCAATGGAGAGACGACTCCCATCCTTGTTAGGAATAACTCTATGCAAAATACTTTTATAGATACCGTTGCTTACAACTTCCAACTGGTCACCAAGGTTCACGAATATCCTGTTATCTTTCGTTGGAGTTATTGGCACCCACTCGTCGTCTTTCCAAAACTCGAGTCCTGAGACGAAATCATCCTGGAGCAATACAATGATTCCACCTGCATCAGTGTGAGCTCGGAGTCCTTTGAACTGTTCTGGTTTTGGGCATTGGGGATAAATTGCTACTTTTGTGCCTATGTGAGGCTCTGAAAATGTCTGCTTCAGGTAATTTTTATCTAATCCGAGGTTCTCACTCAATAGTTCTGCCAGCTTTTCGGCTAAGTTTATTACCTGATCAATGTAATCTTCCATTGCTTTGCTGCATCATAAATATTTCATTTGGAAGTTATGGTTATAAATAAAATGAAAAAGAAAACTCATTTCGTTAGATCTTTGCTTCTGTTAGTTGCAGATAAAAGCTTAACAAAATCAGTGAGAAAAGTGTCAAATTATTTTCCTTACTCTTTGCAGGGGGTCATTTTAGCCCCATAATCTATAAAAGTGTAAATTTAGTCTCCAGTCT